CCAGTCTAAGATCGGCAGATATCTGTTACAGAATAAGGTAGACTTGGCACTTTAATCCACCATACGCGAGCAATATGGGTGGAGCATGGGAGAGAATGATAAGATCTACACGCACCATTTTGAAAGCTCTTGCCAAGGAACAACTTTTAACAGACGAGAAATTACTCACTTTCATCGCAGAAACAGAAAGAATTCTAAATGATAGACCAATCACTTCCGTGAGTAGCGACCCTAGAGATCTTCCAGCGCTCACACCAAATATGCTTCTTTTAATGAAAAGTAATGCGAGTATTCCAAGAGGTGTTTTTGAAAAAGAAGATGTATACAGTAAAAAATGGTGGAAACAGATACAATATTTGAGTGACGTATTCTGGAAAAGATGGATCAAAGAGTACCTACCTTCTCTTCAGAACCGACAAAAATGGCAGAGAGAAACAAGAAACATGAAAGTGAACGACATCGTACTTGTAGCAGACGATTACCATTCCACGAGGGCAGTGGCCACTTGGCAGAGTAACTGAGGTTTTTAAGGGTAGGGATGGGCTTGTACACAAATGCCTTGTCCGTATAAGAAATTCAAATGTCCTCAGACCAATAACAAATTATGTCTTTTAGAAGGCACAGAGTAAATAATAGTTGCGTTGACATTTTTTGTCAAAATACATTTACTGATGTACAAAAGCCTTCTTTAATTTAATTTTATTTATTTATTTTTTTTTTACGCGTGGATTAGACATTTTAACAACCCAAAAAAGAATTTGATATACTATCATATGTATTGTACTTCTTGCAAGAGCATGTTCTTACCATGACTAGATGGCGGTTGTAAATTATAATAATTGCAAAATTTAAAAATTGCAATCTTTGATGATATTTATATTTGTGTCATGTAATACATTTTTCAAAATAATTACGTATATATGAGTATTGGTTGTTTTTTAAATATTTATTTTTATTTTCATTTACAAAAAATATTAAGTATGTAGATTTATACATTTTTTGATACATATAGACAACGTTTTAGTATTAATTTTTTTTTTTACTAGTTTTTCTTCTACATTATTTTCAAATCATATATATTTGATAAGTAAATTATTGATATTTTGAGAAAACAAAATTTGCTTAAGTGCTATTCTTATTTGATGAAATTAAGACATTTCATGGAGGGCACTGTAAGAATTATTAACATTCTTAAAATTTTAATTTGTTCACTTTTTGGCGCTAAAAGCTCTCGCGTCACGTTAACGTCGCCGCCTTTTTAGCGACGTCATGGACGGCAGAGTTTTCCGGAAGTTACATAAAAAGATTACAAACAAGTTTATTTTTGAAGACATTAACGGTAGCGATATTTGATGTAAAATATTATTATTACAGTAAATATTCAGGATTGAAGAAATTAGTTAAATTGACAGGACACCATTGTTGAGAATCGCTACGCTACGCATAGCTACAATTATATGAACTTTGTAGATGTGAAATAAACGAAATTACAAGATTGCAGCGCATTTCTTACTTGGTTTTCTGAATCCTGAACAATATGTATTATACAAAGGTTTTCTTTTCTTGAAGGCATAAAAAATATATAAGGGGGGTCAGTATACTCTTCCGTACAAATGAACTTGTAAAATGTTTGTTTCCTGTAAGATATATAAAACAAACTGATTTAATTGACTCTTTGCAAGAAAAGGATAATATTTAATTTAATTTATAAACGAATTCACGATAAATATGTACAAAAGTTTATATGTTTCAGCAACTTGATAAATTAATAATAATAATGATAAATATTAAATGATTATTATTGGGTCGTTGATGAAAAATAAAGTAAATTAAATTTACGTACAGTTTACTCACAACATTTTGTATATATTTATATTCATACTTTACACCACACATTATTTTTTTTCCTTAAATTATTAAATCTTTTAAAGGCACAGCTCTTTTATATTTGTTTGGGTCGTCAGACTAAACAAATAATGGTAGCGAAATTTCAGACCCTGATACGCTTATTTGCAAAAACCGAAAGTAGTCCAAACTCCCCGAAGCGGTTACTTCACTTTATAAGTACAATAACGCCGAAAAATTAAGGGGAGATCAATTCGTTAAGATTGTCAAATGACAGGCGCATTATTTTTCAAGCCTTCAATGGAAAAGAAAAAAAAGATTCCGATTGGTAGAAGATTTCTAATATTGTGTCATTCTTTACAGATATATATGCTTATATTAAGCTCCATGATTATTTACATCAGTGAAAAACAACAGGTTTACCTCGAAATTAACAAGGGTTACAAACCCTAATTTAGAATAATGTGATTTCCTTCAGGCTGGTATCTTATTATTTCCTAGTGGTTGAGGGGTTACACGATCGCTTACGAAGTGAGAGGTCTAGAGTTCAAAGCTAAGGCAACTTTTTTTATTTTTAATTTTTAAATTTTTAAGCCAAATAAACATTGCAATATGCCTTATTGCCAATTAACTACAGTTACAACACAGGAAACAGCATTTGTGGCACTATACAAAAACAAATTGGTCTATAATCTTACACCCTTCATCTTTCTGGCATTCTGAGACCCAAACAAATTCAGCGCACTTTGTGCTTTGATTTAAGTGTTGTAGTAATAAGAAATCAATAAATGGTGTATTTGCGTAACATTTAAAAGTGTTTCCATATTTCCAAAACAACGTTGAAAAAAATCTTTTGGTTTCTTTCGGTCATTATTTTCTGTTTGTGACAACAATGTCCTCAAAGACAGATCGACAGAATACTTGTAGAAACTGTAAAGTACGATTTATTGAAATTTTGAATGATATATAACAATACGGTAACAATAATAGTTTAAGCATATATAATTATAGGTGACCTTATTCGACTGATCTGCACCTGTATTTGAGATTTTAAGGTCATTGAACACGGGCGATACATAAGTCTGAAAAAAACTATACGTTAATGGTTATCAGTTTAATTCTTGGTCACAATGGAAGTCCAGTATAACTTTTTATGTTATCTTTTTTTAGGTGTTTAAATGTAAAACAAAGGATGAAAATTTTTATGAAAGTGCATTTGACTGTGTTATATTCTTAATCAACTAAAAGAAAGCATTTTACACATTATTAATGGCATCTACGAACCACGTAAATCACCAAAAAGTGGTCAAAATATGCATAAATAGCCTATTCTGTGTTAAGTTTCACGTTTTTTTTTTTCTAAAAAAAAAATCTCATCTTTCTGAGAATATTTCGGTATTCCAAATATTATAAACCGTAGTACAAGATTAATGCAATCCTTCCGACTATTGAAAGGTAAAATGTTTTCCTTTTAGAAAAAAGGCAGATCGAAAAAAGCAGTTCCATATTTGTAAAATACTTGATAAGTGAGTCATTTTTAATGACGCTATACTACTTTGATGATTTCCTCGAAAGATTTTATTTCATTAAAACATTCTACGTTTCCATACGGTACAGTTTCAATCCAGAATTTTAACTAAAATTATTGTCTCTTAATTAAAACAAAGTTATTATGCCGGTTAAATCATGCACTTATGTAGACATTTGTAAAAAAAAGGAAACCCGTTTGCTATCAAGCTCACTTTTATGCTTCTTTATATATCAATCATGTTACAAACATAAACAATCACTGTCTTACTGCAAAAACAACAACAAATTACGCTGTCATTCAATTCATGTTTGGATTGTGCAACAATTGATTTATTACAATCGAGTTTTTTGTTTTTTTGTTGTTTTTTTTAAGCAAACCAGACTGACTCGTCATAGGCAAACAAAAATGATTTCTTTTAAGCAAACCAGACTTACTTCTTTGAAACAACCAATACAGTAATTTATTTTTACGAAGTAACCGATATTGATTTCCACGATATCGAGGATTGTAACTCTTTTCCAAGTAGTACTCTCTTTTAAAGAAGAAGGCGTTAAACGAAACGTAAAATATGTAGACCATTTAAATATTTGATAAAGGTAACGTGTTTAAGTATAAAGCTTAAGTTAGCTATTACTAGCGAAGACAAGGTGAAATACCAGGCTGCGTATTTCGGTATTAATAGAGTACAATTACAGCCTTCATTATTAAGTAAGGCAAATCCGTGAATAAATCCTGGTTATTTTATCGGTACTATTGTGGGGATTAATATTACAACTTCAATAGTGATGTGTTGTCATTATTTTAAACGAGGAAGATAATATTTCGATTATTTGAGGATGGTTTTATACTGCAATCCTGTCTGCACTTTTTGCAATATTTGTCAATGCAAAATTATCAAAACGTTCTACGGCTCTAACTCTTGTCATAATACATGGTTAAATGAATTATAATAGCCGTGTTTTAATAACCTAAACTTATCTGTCGTTTATATAATAGTTACAACATATGATGCTTAGAAATACCATGTAGATGTTACAGTTTTCCTGTTCCACTATTAACATTTATTATAATATGCAGATTCTAACGATTATGTATGCCTGGAAACTGTCGTCATTTGAAACAAGAAATGAACAATTGTATTTATATGTTTAATTAGTTAATTGATCAATTTTCATTAATACATGCTTTCTGCATTAACAACGGTAAAAAGTTGCTATTGTATGTTTGATTTAATTAATTCCGTACCTATATAATTAACTTTAAATTATACAGGTTCAATCCTCATTCTTTTTAAACATACAAAATTTAAGAGAATTTTCACCGCATGTTGAAAATTCCCTTCTTTGCTTTTATAAAAAAGTAAGAATATTTCAAATTTGGGGCCTAATACCTAGAAACCAGTAAATAGGCGATCTACATTATGTTATAAAGCGTTTAATGTCTGAAATATATACTATTTAAAGTTCACTTATTCTAATGCTTGTACAGTATAGCGTTTTATATAAAAATGATTAAGCATTTATTTATGTAAGTTTTCAGACATTTTAACTTGTTTCCGAGAAGGATAAAATTAATTAAAAGCTACAGCTAAAAAACCAAATACCAGAAATTAAATCAACCGGTGTTTTTCCATTTCAAAACTACCTATATATATGGGTACACACAAATGCTGAGCGCGTCACTTGAGCATTTGAGCTCCGGCGGATCAAACTTCTAGTAAGTGAAACATTCTTTAAATTGCTTTGATACTTTAAAATAATTATAAAGATTTCTCTCTAATAAATAAATCTTTAAAATTGAATTTGACTGATTTTAATTTAGTTCCAGCATAATTACGTTTTAGTATTTCTTAGCTTAATTGTTCTAATTACATTTTGAATATGTTCCAAGCAAAATTTTAAAATTTCAACTACTCTTAATTAATTTGTAAGTTTTGTATTATTTTTTCTATTTATTTAATGCTTTAAACCGAATAGTTGTAAACTTTTAACAAAACCGTATCACTTTTGAAACATACAAAATTTAATATTTCACGCTAAATAGTGAGTTGTATATATCATTTTTCGTAATTATTGTCGTTGAAATTAAAATTATGATAGGGCATCTAATAACGGATTCTGTATTCACTGAAATTTGGTTTAAACATATTTTGTAATTTTGCCATGATTCACAAAGAGGAGAGATATCGCTGGACTTTGCTGTTCTTTTTATTCCCTTTGATAAAATGTAGTAGCGTAGATAAAATGTAATAGCGTACATAAATATTTAAAATTAATTATACATTATCGCAGAGTATGAATAATCGAAAAAAAAGAAAACGTATTTTCATGATTTCTCTGTTTACTTTGTACTCGAATGAATTTAAATGTTAAGAATAACTGACCATAACAAAGTTGAATTAAAATCGTTTTTTTTCCTTTGTTTTTTTTGTTGTTTCCGCTGCAATGGGTCTATTTTTTAAATAGTTAAACAAAATGGATTAACACCTTTTACTAAATAATGTTGGCATCAGATCAGTAAACATATTGTCTTGTTTCTTGCTATGAAACTTTATGGCACAATTATGTAACTGTTGAATATGTCATGAACAAATTGTTAAGAATTTGACTTGGTGGGGCTAACAGACATTGTGTTAAACTCACTACAGAATGAAATACTTATTGATATCTTTATGTTTGTACAAACAAGACAATGGATTGGTTAGCTGCTGTAGCCATTGATTTCGGGACAACATATTCAGGATGGGCGTTTTCGTACAAAACCGAGTATGAAATGAATCCTCTCAAAATATCAGCAAAGAGGTTTCCAGGAGCCACTTCATCACTTAAAGGTAAACTTTGTTTCTTTCAGTATATCGATTAGTGTGCGCTTTAGCTAGAAAATTGTAGTAACTTTACTATACGTCATCAATGGACGTTTGACTTTTGTCGCATTTTGATCATTGTCAGTAGAAAGTGTTAACTTCTTAAGCAGAGGAATCTTTGCTTGATCTTCTTCGACAATAAATGCTTTATCATAAATGTGTAGGCAGCGTAATGAACAATTTTGCTGGTACAGTAACTTCTGACCCCGGTACTATTCTTTAAAACAATAGATAGAAAAATATTAAACCATCAGGGCAGTTTTTATTAAGAGCTTTCAGAGGGAATAGGTCCCAAACTATTTTAAAAAAATACTGGACGCAGTAAAGGAAGACATATCTATCCGAAAATCAATTAAGATAAAATATATTTTTTTATATTAATTTCTGTATTAGAATCAAGAAAGCATTCAATGTCCGATTTTGTACCACATAATATGCATGTGACCAGGTCAATAAAAGTTCAACAGAAATCAGAAGATTTTTAAACCTTGCTTTATTTAGTTGAATTAATACTTAAATTTAAAGTTAAACGTAAATCCTTTAAAAATGTAGTGAGAGCAGAAAACTAGTATAATTTGCCGTATCGTACATAAATAATGTAACTGGGATGTAACACTCAAATAGTAAAGTCAAAAATAGAATTGCTTTGCATGTAACGTATTTAACAGATGACTAAATGTTACAGTAAATTGTATATTATGATACTTATTGTGATTAATGCTTTCGAAGGATAACTTTGTTTTAAGATTTTGTAACATGTTTGTGACAAGATACATATAGTTTCCTATAATTTTTATAAGAATAAACATATACATGTATTTTAAGTGTTATTATAACTGTATTTGTATTATATGTGCATGTAATGGATGAGACTTAAATAAGCTAAAAGGTACAGTTGTTGAGCCGAAAATGAAGTGCTCATCATGATGATGTTGCAATTTGTGTAAACGGTTTCCGTGACCTAAAGAATTAAAAAAATCAATTTAGATGCATATCAGATTTTTCGAGTTTATAGTAAGTAATGTCCAATGTTCTCATGCTCAAATGCAATTATGTTTTCAGCCCCAACCTGCATTCTTATCAATTCTGACCTCAAAACAGATTCTTTTGGTTATGAAGCTGAAAAGAAATATGCCGAAATATGCGGAGAGAATAAACAGGATCAATGGTTTTTCTTCAAACTATTCAAAATGATCCTTTTTAACAATAAGGTATGTAATAAACACGTCAAATACTCATACACAAAAATCACTGAAGCAAGCCACCCCCCCTGATAAGAACTATCCTGTGAAGACCAAATTACTCCTTGACAGCTCTCACCGCTCATTCAAATATTATTTGGAATAATTTGGAATAAGTAGACGTCACTTTCGGAGAAAATGGTAACTACTGGATGGTTATCCAGCAAATCCAATTAAATTTTCCAACTGCCGATATAAGACCAAAAAACGTTAAATATACGTATAAAATAGGCAAATAAACGAAACAAATATAACAATATCTATTTGCTGATGGCAAGTTGTGCAAGCATGTCATAAACCATTTTTCTTAATTGAAATCCCTTGTTATTATACTGGTAAATATACGTTTATACAATAAATCTTGTGCATAAAGCCTACATTTTGCAAATGACTTTAACTAGATTTTCTAAGAAAAATTTACAATTTGGCAACATTTGCAAATTGAGACCCATTATTTATTATTGTAAATTAGGCCATAACAAGGCGTGACACACTAGAGGATGTGAGTGGTAAGAAGCTACCGGCAATGAAGGTTTTCTCTCTAGCTATTGAGTACTTAAAGAAGGATGTTTTATTTACACTAAGCAACCACGTTGCCGGTGATATAGATGTCACCGACGTACGCTGGGTTCTCACTGTTCCTGCAATATGGAACGATGCCGCTAAACAGTTTATGAGGGAGGCAGCACAGGAGGTATATCCATATTAGAAAATAACGCAGTTACAATGTTCATTACTAGTTTTTACCAACAAATTGTTGTAGTATATAATAAAATTCTGGAAACAAAGTGATCCCTCGGAAGCATCAATCACAAAATCTTAAGTTCAATCTTAACTACTTGACTTATAAAAATAAAAACACATGATTAAACATGGTATAAAAAATGCAGCCGGATATTGAACTAGAACTTGAAAATTCTGGAGAACCGTTCCACAGATGAAAAGAAAGTCACCCATCAACTTGAATATATGTCGTGTTTTGTAAGACTTTAGTATATATTACTGACGCAACCCACCCCTTCCTTCCCCGTCCGTCTTCAACATCTTAACCAGTGGTTAGCCATCATCATTAAAACAGTCTAAACCATAAAAACTTGTTTGAAACCAGATTTTTCTTACAAATATATGTTTATTTTGTTTTAACTAGAACATTTCATATGAAATGCATAGGATTAAATTGAAACATTTCTGAAAAAGTGCCTTTAGAACCCTTTTTCAACCTAAATTTGTTGTTGTTGTAGTTCAGAAAATTCAGTTAAACAGTCTTAACTTTCTTATTTTTTAATAAAACATACAAGTGTCAGTACTCATTTTCTTAGTTAGAACATTACCCATCTAATGGAAGTAATTCAATTCAAAATTTGGAAAAAAATTGTTTTTGAATTTTTTACCTATACAGTGTGTCTAAGGGAAAAATAGATCTATCGATACTTTTAGGCCTTTGATATACTTTAAATTTGCTTTATTCCAAAAACATGAAAGCACAAAACATTCAAAATTAAGTCTTTGGGAGCTTCCTGACTATTAGAATATTATTACTCATCAATAAATCAGCCATTTTGTTTCCAGAATCACTAACCGGCCCTGTTGCATTGTGGTACTTAACCAGCGGATAAATACGCAATCCACAGGTAAGGTAGCCAGGGTACTATCCAAATGTCGAACAGTGAAATTTTATCCACTGGATAGCTGGCCGCTGGTTAAGGTTTTAACCAGTGGATAAACTATCCATTGGTTAATTTTAACCAATGTTTTGAACAACCCGGTCCAGTTGAACAAAATAACCATACATAAATCTTAACCTTGGAAGACTTGTGCGCAACATTCTCGTCTAAGATATTCTAAAACTTGCATTTTGTCTGTCTAAAAAAGTTACATAGTTTGAAAAATACTTTTTCGCTGAAAACAGTAAAACTATATCATTTTTTTTCTTTCATAGGCAGGAATTCCAGAAAAGAACTTACTTTTATGTCTTGAACCAGAAGCCGCTTCTATTTACTGTCGTCATCTTCAGGTGTCCAAAGAAGCTACATCAATTTCCCAGTTTTCATCTGGAACAAAGTATCTAGTCCTAGATGCAGGAGGTATAACTGATGAATGCAATCACTTAAAAATCTTAAAATCTTCTTGACCTTCGATATTTTAACTAGAAAATTGAATTATTATTATACGAGGTTAAACTTCTCTCCTTAAGTTATAGAGACTCTTTAATGGGTCAATCTGTTCTTTTCTATTTTTCTTTAGGAGGAACAGTTGATATAACTGTGCATGAAGTTTCTGACAGTGGAAAGTTGAGAGAACTCCATAAAGCAAGCGGTGGTGCATGGGGAGGAACTCAAGTAGACAAAGCATATGAAGAAGGTCTCTTAGCTAATATTGTTGGTAAGATCTGAATATTTTATACATATATTTCATGTTCCTGAAGACATTTATTATGTACCTAGCTATTTGGGTAGATAGTATAAGTGTTTGAAATATGTTATATAGAATTTCACTCTGAAGTTAAATGAACTAATCAATTCAAGTGACTTTTTGAATGCCAATTGAAATTATTAACTGTGGATGCAATGTTTTTTTATCATTTTCTTTGATGTTTAACCTCTGTTACATTGAGTTAAAGGTAGACCATGGGTAATGCATTACCTCCACTTTGAAGAGTATTCAAATAGGCTAGAATCGCTTGTAAACTACATTGAAATTGAAGGGCGTGGGTTCAAACCCCAGAAGGGACAATTTTTTTTCCTTTCTTTTTTTCTTTTTAACATTATTTAAGTATCTCTCTGATCCCCTATGGAAGAAAAAAAGTTTTATTTAAATTATATAATTATTTTAAGGTTTTTTTTTTGTTAAATAATGCCAAAATTTATAGCAAATATGATACCAGATATTTTCAAAGTTCGATAAAAGTAAAACTACACGGTAAAAGTATTTTATATTTCGCATGATCAACTAATATACCTTTAAGAAAATTTAGGCAAACTTTGAAAACAGACCCTCATTTCGGTAAATTTTAGGGATATTTTGAATAAGGCATTTTAGATAGGGAAATGGTAAAATTAGTGTTAAAAGTGGGTGGGGTAGGGAAACATTTTTATACATATTAAGAATATTTTGTTTAGAAACAAACATTTTGCTTGTGTAATGTGTTACCTGAATGTTATTATTTGTTTCTTAACAATGAGCAATAGAAAAACATTTTTTATAATGATGATATTACAGATTATTTACAGTTTTATCATTTCTGAAAATAAGCCCTTCTAACGGCAAAGTCTTAGTTCAGAAATATATCCATAACTCATAAACCACACGGTAAATTTTATTTAAATTTTGCATACAGGTGACCTTGAAGACATATAACTGTCCTATGTTGTCAATTTTACAGTTCCTTATGGTGCCCATTACCCATGGTCTACCTTAACATTCGCTTGTTTTGTGTTTCAATAGAAATTAAATATCACGGTAAAAACGTGCACTTAAATAATATGTTTTAGGTCCTGAGGTTGTCTCAGAATTCAAAAGGCAACATATGGAGGACTATATTGAATTTTGTCACAGCTTTGACGGCGATAAACGGCACATTTCTCCGACAAAACCAGATGGAAAAGTGACAATCCGCATGATACCTTCCCTGTCTCAACTTTGTGAAGAAATGAGAGGAAATTGCCTGAAGGACTTATTTCTTCAGTCAAAATTCAACAGCAAAGGCACAGTTACTGGCGATAAGATACGAATTAGCACTGAAGTCTACTTTGACTTTTTTAAACCAACCGTTCTCAACATCATAAGTCACGTAGAAGATCTATTGTCCAAACCTGCAGTTCAAGGCTGTGCTGCCATTCTAATGGTTGGGGGATTTTCTGAATCCCCGATGTTGCAGCAGAATGTTAGGTCCACATTCCAAGATCTGAAAGTAGTAATTCCAGACGAAGCAGGATTAGCAGTCTTAAAAGGAGCTGTCATCTTCGGACATCAACCTGCAACAATAACTGAAAGAATATGCAAGTTTACATATGGGAAAAATATTACCCATAGGTATAGAGAAAGCTGCAAACATCGAAAGGGAAGAGTTGAAAAGGATGATAATGGGGACTTAAGATGTTACGACTTGTTTGACATTCATGTTAAAGCAGGCCAGTCCGTCAAATTGAATGAGGAACAACCAGAGAAAATATTGAAACCTATTACCGATAATCAACCAAATATTGGACTCGAGGTATATTCATCCTCTTCGACAGATCCACATCTTACAACAGAAGACGGATGCAGCCTGATTGGAAAACTAACTATTCCCATTCCGGACACAAGCTCTGGACGAAAACATGAATTTGGAATTATTTTTATATTTGGCGGCACGGAGATTGTCGTGAAAGTCGTTGACAAAGAGTCCGGTGAAGTGATGTTGAAATCCGTCGATTTTCTTGGATGAAATATTATAGGTTGAAGAAGAACACTTTCAGAAGTTTTATTTACTTCTGATTGCTTTATGTGACGGTATGATTGATCGCTGATCGTAAAGTTTTTCCTTGTATTGACGTGGTTCTCTCTTTTACGGCACACTGCTTCAATATCAACTAATTTTGTGAAACAAGCTTGAAATATTAACTTGCAACAAACAACACATATATCAGGTACTTTCAGTTTTGTTTAGGACTGTGTTCACGTGAGAAATGAATTTTCCTCTGTCTTAAACGATGTACACTTTTCTAAGGAACCATTGTCGAACTTTGTGAACTGCAATTGATGCAAAACACTATGCAAGCATGTTTTGCCATTTATTATGACTTTATTGAAATCAATATTTCCAAATGCATATGTATAATCAGAAGTGTAAAGAAGCACAAAATATTTGCTTTCATTAGAAAATTAAATATAGCGAATTACAGGGAAATAACACGAAACAATTGCTTTTGTTTTCTACTCAAAATTTAATTTGTTTAAATGAGTAGGTAATCCTGATTTCACTATTTTAAAAAGAAATAAGACAAGCTTTTATCCTCCTGAATTTATGTAATGGATTTCTCCAGCAGCCCATTTGAATATAAAAGGATATCAATATTAAATTTTAGCATATTATAGTTGAGGTGTCATGGTCAGCAAATATTATATCCGTTTAAACGGCGACCTTATAAACGTGATAAACGTTTCACCGTCCGTACAAAAAAAAAGAACACTTAGATCTTAAACAACCTTTAGTCTTCATTTTTTAGATATGACATGTTGTGCTCAACAAGATTACAAAAGATATCCTATTAAAAAGCTATTATTTGCCTCAATAGCCGTACCGAACTGTACACAAAAAGAAAGCATGCAATTAGAAAATCACTTGTATGCGCATCGTAACTAAACACAACATGTCTTATTTTGTCATAGTGATGTAATTTTTTAAAACTTCTTTGGCCATTGGTAATATACTTACCTCGGTTACCGAATACTGGATATATTCTAACAGATTTTTGGCTAAAATCCGACCAAACCCGATTAAACGGATAAACGTGACGCCCCTAAACAATAGCATAGAACCTGGTCAGACTGTATAGATGTGTTAGCTGGACTGACCGTGTGCTAGTGGCAAAGGTTTATCATTTTAAAATAATTTGGCGGAACCAGATATTGGCAGATGTGGTATAAACTACGACTCATCTTTGAAACTCAATAACTAAAGGCATTTCATTGACTCATTTCATTTAAAGTTTACAAAATGCTGCATATTGATGAGTGCGATAGCTCACCTAGGCGGTGTCAACCCTCATTTAGACTTATGACTAAGCTTTTCATGAAAAGGCCCTTGCATAAATTTGAATGAAATGAAAACAGTTCAATATTGCTAAGGCTATTCACCAGTTTTTTCGGGAGGGGGCTTATTTTATTAGGGCGGGGTTAGCGTGGAAATCAATGTTTCCTATTGAACACTGCAAAGGTCATATGGCGATTTTCCAACATTTCCGGTGGGGGAAAGAAGAGCTCAGATGCATTTCCTTTAATTATTTGAGTATCCGTTTTCACCTGAACTTGTATTCGAAATTTCAAATGGTTTAAAACGCGTCAAAATGGTATTTTCAATGAATAATTCTGATAATTTACCACAATTATCGATTGTCAGAAAATTAGATCAGAACCCTCCTAATGCATTGCCTACACTTTGAAGAATATATAGAATACCGTCAACTGACAAAAATGTTTTAACTGATAAAGGAAACAAAAATATTTAAGACTTTTCAAATAAGCTGAACAATATAATTGGGAAGGCGTTATATATAATATCAATGTAAGTGGTTAAGTGTGCACAGAAAGAGCACAGGAAAATAATGTATGTTATTATTATTTTTGCAAAGTCTTTTTATATGTACCCAAACGCAAATCAACACCATCAGCATTTTATTTCCCTTCTTGGGGTGGGGGATGGGGGGCTTAAGATTTGGCCTTTTATGTTCGTCCGTGCGTCCATGCGCCCGTTCGTTCCAAATTGTTGTGACATGTATAGCTCCAAAAATACTTGCGATGGAGTCAACAAACTTTACAGAAATGTCTATCAGCATGCAATGTTGTGCATCTGAGATTTTGCGTGTGGATTAATTCAGGTAGGATTGAGTTATTGCCCTTGACTTAGTACAATTTTGCAATTTTCAGTTTGAGTCGTGCGAAGCTCAAAAAGTAATTAGCCTAGAGTCATGTAACTTGTATAGAAAAGTTGGTCGGCATGTGTACCGAGTGTTTGTTTGTATATTTATTTATTTTTCATTAATTGTAATATTAGCCATTGACTTAGTGCAAACCGTCCAAAATATTATGTCACATGTACCTCTAAACTTGCTTGAATTAGAGGCAAAACACTTTAAAGGCGTGTTAATCAGAAGTAGTGTAACGGGGATTTCGAATGTGGGATTAATTCAATTATAGCCCTTGTCTATGGAGGTTTTATTGATATTTATTTCTTTTCAGCATATGTTAGGAGACAAAATTGAGATTTGAAGTTCTTGCAGCCTAATAATGGGTAAAATGTCATTTTTATGCCCAGACTACTCAGGGGTATGGGGAGTCGTAAATAAATTCCTTTGTCTGTCTGTCTGTCTGTCTTTCATACTGTCCAGTAGACTGATAAGACAGTTGAATGTGGGGGCATACGTGTCCTATGGACACATTTCTAGTTTCATGATAAAGAGAATGATTCCGCGCGATCATCGCCTTATGATCCTATATGATAATGGTATTTAACCCTACGAGCACATCATAAAATATGATAAATTCTTTAAAAAGCGGTGTTAGGGGGAATGAGCACCATATTGCATTTACTATTACCGACCATAGTCCATATATATATACAAACCTAGCCTACTTTATTTTTAGTTTCGCCGTGTTGTGAACTTTTTTATCTCTTTATATTATGTATTTTGGCTAAAGCCGAAGTCTGCTTCAAAGACTGAAAGACAATTCGATTATGAGAATTATAAGACTTTGGTGTGTATGTGTCTCTCGATAATTTTAGGACCATTTTTGTTATATCTCGTCGGAAACAATTAATAAAATATAAAAATAAATGTAACTTAATAATATATGTTACGATTAACGTGTTGAAATTACCTTTATATAAGCAATCTTATTTCTTTATACTGCAATATCAAACATACATTTTGTATTCAAACTGGTCATTTGCAACTCACGAAAGAAAATTGAAATTGAATAGATGTTGGTGATAGATTTAGAGCATTATATATCTATCTATATCAGTTACATTTCGTAGTTGTTATCTTTGAAAGGAAGGAAAAACATCATCACAATCTCCTTGTCTTCTTTATATAGCGTATATACATACTGCTTTTTTAATCAAATTTAATGTGAAAAAATTAAGTACATATTTCTCTTCAATAATAAAGGGAAAATGCATCTGTTTCTAAAAAAGACTTGCATTTACAACTACAAAGCACATGGACATATTTAGAGCCGGAGATTCAGGGCGATGAACTATATATGTTCGCGGGGGTGGAGCTTCTGCAGATTTATATGTACGACAAAAGGTACATTAACACTTTTTCTTTTTAAATGAAACTAGTACTAGGGACTTCTTTGAAGTAAGAAAATTGTCCATTGTGCCCTGAGTCACGCATAACGTTGAGCGTTTTAACTTGATAATATCCGTAAATGCATATTATCTTCACTGTTATCAATTATTATGTTTAAGTTAAAGTGTAGCACTTCTTTGTATTACTTTTAGTCAACTATACTGGCTGACTATTATCTTACTCATATATGGAGATTGGTTGCTTTACCAGTTCTAACTACACATTGTTTTAAGAACATATAAATGTCAACTATTCATAAAAATGTCAAATTATGTCGATCCATCTTTTCCAGCGAGACTTGTTAAAATAAAAGAAAACACTTTTATGAGAGTGACATGTATGGGGTATCTTTCTTTTGAACATTCACAGGTCTGGTCATGTTAGACAATCCCGGTCATTTAAAACACGTGAAACTATACCTACAGAAGAAGAAACCATTAGAAGGAATAAAAATGTCAACGACTTTCATCATATTTCCCAATTTGATTGAAAAACTAAAGACAAATTTTAAACAACATCATATAAATCCAATGCAATAAGATATTATATCAACGGCCCTATATAACAATACAAATAATGGTTAAGACAAATTATACATTTATTTAACTGCGCTATTATTCAAAGTAATCATCTAAACGATTCTTCTGGCATTAAATATGCCAAAAAAAATGGACGGTTGAAGTGTTCTTTATTAAACAGAATTAACTAATCATAGCATATTTTTCGACATTAATTTTTGATATATTGTTGAACGCTGTGGACAATTTACCGGGAAGGATATTCCGATCCGAACCGCAAACATATGTCAGATATTTTTTCTTGCATATTCTACCATATTCAATTATATTTTAAATTCTTTATCTTTAATTTCAATGGAAATTTATATCATTACAACCGTAACTACTTTCTTACAACAGCGTATGAATTACAACTTCATTCATAACGGTAAAATGACGTCATCCCAAGCGTGACATTGAGCAGCACGCGACTCATCTGGCACCCCCCCCCCCTGCCAGATGAAATTCCCGGCATGGGTAAAACTCACGGAAACGCCAGTCTGATATGCAAGAAAACATAATTAAGGTATTCTAAGAAAGAAATGGTAGAGGTCTGTTTCTTATTAAATTTAAACAATATGTCTCTTTAAAAGTTAACCCAGACGACATAAATGTATTTTACTTCCACATGTTATTTAAGATTTTTGTAATAATAATATGTAATGTTAGATCAAGGAAACACTGCATTTTATGTTTCTAAATGTAACTGTTGTGATTCCGAAAGTACATCGTACACATACGTATTCATGTACACATTAATATATGCTTTATCAATAAACAAATATATATAACTGCTGATTGTATTATTACTGTGTACTGATGGGCATATTGCCTTTGTATGAATAAAGTTTATCTATCTATAATATCGAAATTTCCTCTGTAAATTTTACAAGCATTCAAACTGTTCTCTACGAAATACTGTCGGAGACATTTCAACTTAATGAATTCCCGATTCCAGCTTCTTGAATAATTATTCATGATTTCCACTTCACGAATTGAGGATTTCAACTTTAAAACTTCACGATGAAATTGGGAATGAGAAAAGTCCCTACCGGTCTCTCAGAGTTCTCAGACGGACTTCGTCCGAAAAAGCGTTACACTACTTCCCAAAGGTGTGAATATGTGTTGAAGTTTTATTTTTGTTTTACATTTAACTTAATATATTCACCTGTTTTTTACATTCTGGCCGGATTGTTTATATTGTTTTATATACACTAAGCTTCTGCAATGCAATTAGGTAAGAGGGACAACACTTATTATGTAGTTTTGTTGTACCAGTTTCCTTTTTAAAAATATGGTTTGCAAATACATATGACATTCACTTGAAATTTTTAAGATAAACCGTGCGATAAATCATGATAGGAATTTAATCTTTGCCTCATCCTAGATAACAAATGCATGTATAAGTCAAGATAAATATTTTTACACTTTATTTCAAACTTTCGGATTAGGCGGACCTGATAGCAATGTGAGTATATACATATTGGATAACCTATGTTTCAAATGAAGATATGCCCCGGACATATAGTCCGTCCGTCTGTCCGGGCAAACCAAGAAGACATAAGGGTTTTTACAACCTGACATTATGTGGCGAGATTAATTTCGAACAAACTGTAATTTTATAATGTACTCTGGGGTTGAAAATGTTATTATGGGGTTGAAAAAGGATAAAAAAAAGTTAAAAAGGAAATCCTAAATGTAGCCTGTAAGAACATTCGTACAAGGTTAATCTAAACAGGCAAGTTGGATTTATCTAAGGTTCTACCTCTACCTGTACCAATGGCTTCATATTTTACACACTTACCATTCTATACAAATTTTAGGATCTGTGCAAGTAACATGACTAAGACTTCCATTTTTCCAAATTATTTAAACCATTTCGAAAATGGATATGGTTAACATTAACCGGCAAGTTTGCTATATATCTTAAATTCTATCTATACTAATCGCTTCGTAATATACACAATCACTTAACAATACAATGTTCATGTTTTCGCCAAATTATATAATTGTGACATCAATTTTTCCAAATTATTTGACTTTTATCACTTTGGAAATAGGGCCTTGAATGGTTAATCTTCCATATTTGGTAGGTAGATACCTTAAATTGTCCTATAACAATATGAGGAATAAAGATCGTTGTTGTAGAAAAAAATTAAACAATTGAGCCCATAACGTCTTTATTTTGAAATCGATTTCTTTTATGTTTCATACGGATATTTCTAGGGAGGTCCTCCCCTTTTGATTAAGTTAGGAGTCATTTGAGTTAAGGTCAATGTCACCAATATCAGAAATAGATTTTTTACAAATTTACAGTGTAATCTGTTTGCAGATGTATTTATATTTGGTAGGAAAATAAAATTAAGAAGTCTTATACATTTGGTCAGTTTGGTCATGTTCAATAGTGTTAAAAATAGAACCTACACTTTTGCTCATACAGCCTTTATGTATTGACAGATGTTTTTCAGGTAGCTAACTTGCATGATATATTATTCCTTTTGATTTGGTTAGGGTCATTTGATCAAAGTAAAGCTTGCCGATAATTGATTTCTAAACATCTAAATATACAGTCGTTTTTTTACGAAGGTTTTTATACTTTGGTTGAATGATAACTTGTGTGGTCTCCATCCTTCGAATTGAGTTGGATCAAATCATCAGTGCTAAAAATAGATTTGTACACTTTTGCCCATACAGCCTTTATTTATTGACAGATTTTTTTCATATTTGATAGTGAGATAACTTGCATAGCTTTCTTCCTTTATAATGAGTTAGGGGTTATTTGGATTCATGTAACTATTGCTAAAGATATTTACAATTTTGCCCGTACAACCTTTATTTTTAGATACATTCCTTGCATATTTAGAGGGAAGATATCCGACATGGTTGTCTTCCTTTGGTTTGAGTAAAGATTCGGTGGGTAAGCATTAGGGGTACAAAAAATTTGCTTATGAAGGCTTGATAGACTGATGTTGTTCTTCTTTTGAAGGTCAAGTTTTAGGAGTTACAAGGTCAAGTTCACTTTTACTTACATTTTTTTTCTTTGTTTTATACAGTCCTTGTATTTTTTTTACCAGTGTCTCATATTTACAAGGAATATACCAAAGGTGGTCCTTAAAGTTTGGAAGGAGTTGGTGGTCAATGGGTTGAAGTCAAGGTCTTGCATTTATATATATTTGATAAATATTTATTGGTTAGTTGAATATACGTTATCTACGTTATTAAATAGCAATGACATGTCAACTTATATTTTGCACAATAACAAACTTCATTACTCTGTCAAATCATATAATTGTGTTAACATTTGTTTGGCATTTTACTCCCCATATCTTAGTGAATGGATGGATAATCCTTTTTTGAAAAAAAGTTACTGAAATGAATCTGGGTGGGGGTAATTGTATTTTTCAAACACTCTTGTTTTAATATGAAATGATCAGATGAGATATACATATTTTTATATTAACATTGATTATTGTCTTTAATTATTGGTTATAGTCTTACATTATTGGTTTGCTCTGCTAATTTAGTCATAACGGTGATCATTTGTGCCAAATTATTTCCAAAACTTGTCAGCTGTACAACAGTCAATTTAAAACCTTATGGGCCTCTGCAATTCGCAAATTACGCAAATGACATATATCACCATACCTCTAGACATGACTTGCTGGAGAGATGGTAGCTGCGAAAAACATGATTTGAAATTACATATCTATATATTATAGTAAACACTTATATTCGAAAATGCATAATGGTTATTTTGTAAAGAATACTTTTAGAAACGTAATACTTAGAAATAAAGTTGTTTTCAGGAAACAGTTTACAAGTACATGCAAATAAAATTTACCACCTTTGAAAATATTTTATTGATTTAATTCCCGCGTTTGATTGGACTATACTAAGCGCTTGTATTTATATTACTGTTCTAAACTTCAAACATAATTTAAGACATACTGTCTCTAGGGAGAGTCTTCACTTCCATGACTTACTTGAATACAATTTTGTCAAACTTAAGAACTGTTCCTGGGCGATAGATAACATTAATTACTTGGGTAGACACGATTAGGAAATGCCAACAATCGGTTCCGCCGGTTACGAGTTTGGCGAATTTCATCACTTAGTATTAGTTAATTTGACCAAATATATTATTTGTCATTTCTTCATTTTTGTTAAGTATTTATTTTCTTCACATTCTTTATCTTTATCATCAATGTGTATTAAATCTAATATTGGGTACACGCCAACTTTGATTTCGTCGAAAACAATCTAAAATTTACTTCCTTATTAAGTATCACATGACAAAAAATATTTATGTTGGGCGTATGATTGTAGGCATTCAACGATCATGAAAGGGTCCCTGTTTCAAACATGATACATAATAGAAAGAGTATCGAAACACGATTGCCGAGTGTTTTAATTCTCTTTTGTATAATAGGCAAATAGGTAAAAACATGTTCCCTGCCATCACAATACGAAACCCCAGAAAAAGTAACCAATGAACGTGTTTCTGAAAATGACGTTTTATTGATGTCCCTGTCGTCATAATAAGTAAACCCTAGAAGAAAAAAAATCCAGCATGCTCTATGTTATTCATGACAGACACTGTGGTATCAAGAGTGTTGCACTCCAGTTAACGCACTGTGCATGTATGAATATACCATTAAGGTCTGACACCTTTTCAATAAAAAGGTCTCCAAACTGTCATAAAAATAGATGACCGAGGTTGTGTTTTACCACTAAGAATTATAAATTGCAAAAATCGAAAGTGCAATTGGACATTTTACATATCTATTCTATCTCCGTTCGTAAAGTAGATTGAATATATACTCGTGTATCGGTCGCAAAATCCTATGGAGGCTATTCGTTGCCAAAAATCCAGCTTTTGAAACTTGACAATGCATACTTCGGTTCTACTAAACAGATTAGTAAAAATCTAATTGTCGATCCGAGAGTTACATACTGCACTGGTATTAAGCTTTTTGATTGTCTCGATTTGATAAAATGGAAGCTGTAAACATGCAACTTATATAAATTGAAAACTGTATTTATAATTGTATAACTTCAATTTTGCGTCATGTAGCAATGTAAACGATAGAACGTACACAATACGTTTAATGCTGTGCATCATGACGTTGAAATGTAACTGCATCAACTTGACACACTCAGGTTTACAACACCACACTTTCCTTTTACATTATAACGCGATTAACATTTGTAAACGATTTTGCAACTTCCATATATGGAATTATCAAGGAAATAGATGAAAATTAATAGGCGGAGCCAATTTTCGCGAAAGCAGAATATAAAGAGAGGTAACTCTTGCTGGTACAAAAATATTTCACATACATCAGCTGCATTACAGTTGACTTTGAACATCCTCTGATTCTGTAAAAACGTATTCTAGTACAGGATATTCTAGTAATGCAAAATTGATTAAGATATAATGTAACAATGTTACAACGTTTATACTGATAAAGAGCACAATAATATGCAAAAACTAAGTTGGTGAATTAACATAGGGGAATGATTCCCATATATAATGACACACACCACAATATATTGATTTGAACGATAGGGTTTGTGTGCCTTCAAACGTCACACGATATTGCTCGTGCACATATCTTTTACATTCAGCAAATAGTACTAGAGTGCGGTACATGGAAGTCACTTTTGGCAACACGAATAAAGGGAACTGAACTGTTAGCATGTGCCTTCTTTCTTTAAAAGACTATGTCGGGTTGTAGAAAAACACATATTTTTGACCATGTGTATAACCACGAAACAATTCAAAGTTTACTATCGATAATTCCGTTGTATAACTAAAAACTTGTGAATTTGTACCATTTTACTGTTGAAATAAATATTCAGTGTATCCTAGCATCTCTGTTGTTTACCTTCATTGGGAGGTATTTTGAGTCATAGGATGTGATTTAGCCTTTTATTATTAATCATATGTAAGGTGACATAGGTTAAGGTCTTTTTATGCATTGAACTAAATCAATAGCAACTCTAAAATCTGTTTATACATGCTGCCAATAGCTGTTACCTAGACTTGCTGTCTATCTGATCAAAAGCAGAGAACTATTACATGTACATGAAATACTACACAGAATATTTATTAAGTTTTGTAAGTGATGACCTTCTAAGAGATAAAATAAACAAGGTATAGACATTACATACATTGATAATAAACATATATACCTTTGGACTCATTTAAATATTATTATTGAAAAACAAATTGGTATAAATGGGAAAATATATCTATAAAGTATGGTAAAAATAAAAAGGGTACATACAACTTTGATTATAATTTTACTATTATAATTGTTAAAGGTTTTTTCTTATCAAGTCATACGCTAGAATTAATGTTACTAATGTAATAGTAAATGCTATTACTAGGAAAGACAACAGCCATTATTTGGTCTGTATTAGTAATTAGTCGTATCAAAATCTCTATCAGATGTTGACTTGAAAATTCGAAAGTGGTAAGGTAGCAGCTTAACTGTAAATGTTACTCATTCCTATGCAAATTGGAATACCCTCAGTAAAATTTATTTGTCGTTGAATACAGTCTTATCAATAGTTTTTACTTCCTTGAAAAATATTTAACCTTAGGCAGTAAGTAGCCTGTTGAGTTTTATTATTATCATTTTAGTTTCTTTTTCTAGGAAATGTGGTATCTACAACGTTTTAAAACTTATATGCCTATAATCCTTTAAAGTCCGCTTAGTAAAAATTCCTTCATGACAGAGTTAGAAAGTAGTAGGTAATAGGACCATGCAAAAAATATTTTTAAAACTGCAAATGTCAAAATTCATCTTTTCTGATAGTACAACCAGATTTATAATCACTGCCTTTGAACAACTTTGACCACTTTGCAAAAGTTAGTTGCTTTGTTCACTTTAATAAGCTACTGCCTAGATATAAACAGAACACATAATACCAGTGATTTGTTCATATTCGTAAAAGGTCAGGGTATAATAGAGATTATCATTATCCCCTCCTTAATAAGAAGCTCATGTCTTATCAATAAGTCCTGGTATAAGATATACGAGTGATCTAATTAATGAAAGATCCGTGGCATACTCCCCCGTCATGCTATATTGAAATTCATAGCCGAGATCACCATTGGCGCCCAACGAGGGACCCACAAAGATGATGACGATCAACGCTGCCGCTTGTCTTACGGACGTCTGTAGAACGTCGAAAGATCCTAAAGAAAGGACAGGTACACCACAGCCCCATTTAATTAAAAGAGTTCAAACATTTATTATTGGCCGGCCACCTTAATATATAGTGTTAATTGATAGCACATATCATAATCTTTCCTTGATTCATTAATCCTAGAATTAACCGTGAACTTATCAACAACGAGCTGGAATGAGGATCACCGGAAGTTACCAGTGTTTTCATTTTTTGACAGTTGCCTGTGTTTCTAAACATTGAAACATATATATCATTCATCGTTTTAAACGATAGAATTAGCCGACTGTATTTTTTGAAAATAAAATGTTTATCAATTTTGATAATATTATTAAATGTATGTTTTATTGTATGTATTTGTTAAACAAAGAGTTGTTTATATATTGACCAGTACACAATTGTTAGTGTCAATATTTATTCTGTTGTGCACTGATTGAATTTGTTTGCTCAACGAGTACTTGGATTCACTGATAATTTATTGGTATTTATTAATTATTGTGTGTTCTCTTACTCCCTCTTTCCTTCCTGAGTCTATACTAATTAAAGTTAAATAAATAAACTAAAATACCAAATAGTAACCTATATTGACCCTGTCCTATAATAATAAACAGTATTATAGGATTGTTACCCTGGTTGGTTTGGTGTGTGTTTATAGATAAAAATATATTAAATAGAATTATCTATAAAATCCAAAAGGAATTTAAAATTACTTTGCTTATCAAAAATAGCCCAGTGATTTGAAGTTAATCCAAGAAACAAAAATGTGTACAAGAAAATTAACAATAAAGCGCAAATTCATTCGCGACTCGAACAAATTTTAGCATTTTATACATTAATGATAATTCTTAATATTAAGGGAGGTATTGCGCCTCGGGGACATTTGCTGACAAGTATGTATTTGCAAACAAACCGACTTATCTATGAGTTCATTAAAACTATATTAATTTTATCTTAACTAAATATCTCATATGTTTACACACGGAGATCATTTATACTCTTATTTCCAGATAATGTGTAAATTAGTAAAATTCATAAAATGGGGTTTACATTAAAACAGATAATCATGTTATAACATGCATTCATGCTGAAAGTAATTTATCTTGACATGCATTAGTCTTCATAAGTAAATTGCATATATTATCATTCGATACAAATACTTGGAAGAAAGTAAAAATAAATTTCGAGATGTTCAAAGAGAACAATCTTCATGAGGTCGTTATTGAAAAATACAATTGTATGTTAGTATTAATAAGGTGAAACGTTGTCTAATAGCACACTACTTAAAGAATTGTTTTTAAGTGAATTCTTTGATGATTTTAGGGGTCATGACAATAATATAATGAAGGGTTTAGTAATTTCCGAAATAAATATTTTTTAGGTTGTTACCGTTCTACATTCATTTTTATTTCCAAACCTTGTTTTTAAATTATGATTACGGGTAGCCATCACACTTGTACTTAATTCTACCTGCTCGATTGCATCTTATACGAACACATTGTCGTTTTTGAATTCATTTTCTCATTTTGCAACTTGAGAATATGTTAATAACATAATGTCTATAATTTTGATTTAGTACATAATCAATATTAAATACAGGTGAACAATAGTGTATCTGTACTTCGCTATCTTCCTCAAATCGCATGATTAATAAAGTTCTTTCTCTTCCTCAATGGACATTTTATAACGATGCCTTATGCTTGTGTCCGATCGTTACATTCGGAAACGATTTGATAAACGTGTTTGATCGAGAACGAATGTCACATGTAATCGATCAATCAACCGCGACAAAATTATTATCATATAACTAACTATTTCTCGAGTTGGGATTAGCAATCGATAGGAAATGAAATTGGTATCAACCTCAACGTCATTAATTAATTTTAGTTTCATTTAGCCGTCTTTTTTCTTTTTTCCCCTTTGAAACCAGTTGTTAATGTCATTACAGGATATAGAGTAGAGTAACAGAAATTTTGTTCATACATGCAATGAGCCTGTTAGTTGTGGTAGCCATTGATTTTGGGACAACATACTCAGGATGGGCGTTTTCATACAAGACTGACTATGATCGAGATCCTCTGAAGATAACACCAAAGACTACTCCACACTCAACTTTATCCCTTAAAGGTACAATACTGCCACCTTCAGTTTATATATTTAGAATATAGAAATGCTGAAATATGACTACAGTCTTAAACAAAATTTTCATTATGAAACTAATATTATATGTGTAATGGTATGTCGGATGAGGTTTAAGGAACTTTTAATTGGGGCGAATTAAACCATTTAAGACAAATGCGAAGGTTACATATTGTCAAATATTATATCTTATAAAAATGTATTCCTTCTTTAGCTTTGAAATATAAGTGTCAATGGGCATTTAAATAATATATTATTCGCTGGTCCTATGTACGAGCGGGCGCTATTATGTTTTGTCAGATCAATCATTAAGAGGCGTATAACTGCGAGGAAGTTTAACAAAACGCGCAATAACATCAGCTTTTAGAATATCAATTTTAGAACTGTTGTTATGTAAAAAATATGATTTTCTCCCTCGTTATTTGACGATTTTTCCTAGAAAAATGACGTGTAATATGAGAAGCAGCGCACAATACTTCCAGCCTAATAGCGTTTTAATTACCTGTAGGAAATAACTTTTCAAAAATAAGACAATTTAAATATGACGTTTTCGGATTATTCCTAATACCGTAATTATGATGTTTCTTTCTGAAACAACGACACTCAGATCACATATTCAGACAGCGTTTTCCTTTTCAAGTCAATAATTTGTTCTATAAAAGTTACATTGTTATTATTTTTATTTTGAATAATGTCGGGCTATTTTCATTATAAATCAAAATCTCAATATAATAATTTTAAGTCAAATGTCGTTATTCTTATACAAATTCTTTGTCAATCTATTTGTAAAGTTTATTTTGTTTCTGATAATGCCCAATCAAAACTATTGTTTTCAGTTCCAACGTGCATTCTTATAAATTCTGATGGAAAAACGCCACATTCTTTCGGCTATGATGCTGAGGACAATTATGCTGAAATATGCGAGCAGAGGAAACAACACCAGTGGTTCTTCTTCAGAAGATTTAAAATGACGCTTTTTAGAGTAAAGGTATATATGAACATGAATGCCACATATATAAAGCATACGAACATATGAACTCGCATACGTATGCAGAAATATATCCAATCCATCCATGTCTATTTTCCTGCCTGTCTGCACAGACCGGGACAAAATGGAACACTTTATCAGTTATAAAGAATATTTCTTGTGAAGTGACTATTCTAACCATGACAAATTGACTGGTCTATTGCTAGACAATTACTTTCGTACACAGGTGAAACTTTTTTTGCATATTTCAAAGCTAAGAGTAAATTTGATTACAAGAAGTAATCTATAGTGAAATCACGTATATGAAAGTTATCAAATGTAAATAAAACGTACATATGAGTTGATGACCGTGGTATTTTAATTTTATTGGCAAGTCTTTTGGTCTCTGACCCTAAAACATTTACAAAATCAAAATAATTAAAAAACATAGACAGTGAGTGATACAGACATGTATACATAATCAACAAAAATAGTATTTTAATATTTATTGACAAATATTCAAATAACGTCGCTTTTTATCTAATGGATTGCATTGTTTCAAATGGCATTGTTGTTAGACATTCAGGGGTAAAATTTATCAAATGTTGGTAGCAATTTTCTGAAATATATAGGCAGCGTATATCATTATATAAATAACAGAATGATATAAAATGATATTCATCTTCTATTGAAGTTTCAAAACAAGGACATATACGTTCATCTCATTTCATAGTTTTATTCTATCTAATGTATTAGGGCATGACAAGATGTGATATACTAGAAGATGAGACTGGTAAGAAACTTCCGGCAATGAGGGTTTTCTCGCTTGCTATTGATTTCTTAAGAAAGGATGTCCTTGATACTCTGAGCCGTCATGTTGATACAAAAAATTTTGAATCTGATATACACTGGGTTCTTACTGTTCCAGCAATATGGAACGATGCAGCTAAACAGTTTATGAGGGAGGCAGCACAACAGGTATATGAATGTGAAAGTATATTGCAACATTAACTGTTTTTTGTTTATAATCAAAGCGATTAAACTGTTATAGTAAGTTAAACGCTATAAATTTCCTTAGATGTACACAAGTATATTACAAAGTTCAAAAACTTTGAATTGAATTCGAACCGCTACTTATAAAGGAAACTAAATATATATTATCTATATTCAATCACTGTCCGCATTAAGTCGCGACCTGTTACGGCCTTATATTGATATATAGGTGTGTATTTTTCTTTTCATACGATAATTATGTTAATGATTTAAGCTCATTAGAATATTTACTTTATCAAGTCTAATTTAACTTTTGATTTTATAGGCTGGGATTCCAGGAAAGAACCTTCGTTTATGTCTTGAACCTGAAGCCGCATCAATTTATTGTCGTCATCTTCCGGTGACAAAGAATACCAAGCAAGAAGTTGCATCTATTTCCCAGTTGTCATCAGGAACAAAGTATCTCGTCCTTGACGCAGGAGGTATTCTTCTTAAATGTTTTACTAAAAATGGAAACGCTAACACCAACCGTTTTCTAGTTTTATAAACTTTTGCATACATGTTTTATGTAAAAAGCATTTGTATTTTTTTAATGAGAGCAATATGCCTGTTAATTTTCTTTTAAAGAGTAAAAGATGTTTGAATGGTTAATTGTTTGTTTCCTTTAACAGGCGGAACAGTTGATATAACTGTACATGAAGTAACTGACGATGGAAACTTGAAGGAACTCCATAAAGCAAGCGGTGGTGCATGGGGAGGAACTCAAGTAGATCTAGCATTTGAAGCGTTTCTATCAAGTATTGTGGGTAGGTAACTCATATTTGACACACAAAAATACTTGACAATGAACCATATTTCTTTAAATAAGAAGTGAATATGTAACAGTAATTGTAACTGTAAATTTTAGTGAGAAAATTTTCACAAAAGATTATTAAGCTGCCTACTCATTCCGTTAAATTTGTTTTATGCCCTTTATCGCGAAAATGAAAATAAAACAAATACGAACTTTCAATTTGGATAAATTGTCGGAGGTGTAAACTCAGACTTCTTTTGAATAACCTTTTCATCTTTTGATTAAGCCTTGTATGAACTTAGATATGTTTCAGTTTGTACTTGATACCATATCAATATAATAGAAATGATATCTCAGATGTAAGGGTTTCAAATCAATCGTATTACAGGACCGGTTGTCATCTCAAAATTCAGAAGTCTACATTTAGAGGACTACATTGAATTTTTTCGTGAATTTGAAAGCAAAAAACGCAAACCTATTCAATCTACAAGATCCGTGACTATCCGTTTCCCTGCTATCCTGTCTGACTTATGTCATGAATTCACAGAAACGGATTTAAGGGAATTAGTACGACAGTCTAGATTTGAAAGCAAAGTCCAGGTTTTAAAAGATAAGTTTAGAATCGATGGTGATGTCTTCAATGAGTTTTTTGAACCAACCGTTCGCAAAATAATAAGTCATGTTGAAAATATATTGACAAAATCCTCAGTTGATAGTTGTGATGCCATTCTAATGGTTGGTGGATTTTCTGAATCATCGGTGTTGCAAGTGAATGTTAAGTCAACATTCAAACACCTGAAAGTAATCGTTCCAGACGAAGCAGGATTAGCAGTCTTAAAAGGAGCTGTCATCTTTGGTCACAAACCCACAGCAATAACTGAAAGGGTGTGCAAGTTAACATACGGGGAGAAAATAACTCATAGATACAGAGAAAGCTGCAAACATGCAAAAGGAAGAGTTGAAAAGGATGATAATGGTGACTTACGATGTTATGATATCTTTGAAACTCATGTTAAAGCAGGGCAGTCCGTCAAGGTGGATGAAGAACAACCAGAAATGATCAGCACACCTATTACCGATAATCAAACTGCTATTAATGTCAATGTGTATGCATCCTCTACAACTAATCCGCAACTTACAACGGAAGATGGATGTAAGCGCATTGGAACATTAACAGTGCCTATTTCTGACACAAGTTCTGGAAGAAAACATGAATTTGGAACAAGTTTTATTTTTGGAGGGACCGATATTGTTGTAAAAGTCGTTGACAAGGAATCTGGTGAAATTATGCTAAAATCTGTCGATTTCCTTGGTTAGAATATAACCAAACAAAATCAGAACACTTGAACAGACATATATAGCTTTTATTGTTTAATTTGTTGAGTAAGATCAATCATATATACTGGATACATGTAGCATAATTATTGTTTTGTTTTATAGCTTGAAGCACATTGCGTTAATATCACAATTCTTTCATAATATTGCTTAAGATTGCTTTTTGTATATTATATATCTTAATTTTGTAAAGCATTGTCGTGGACGATAAACATTTTGATGGCATTTGAATGCGACATCTATGAGTCTTACTATAACTATAATTATTCTTATTATCATACTTGTAAGTTAGAAAATGCACTGAATGGTTAAAAAATTATGTATGTACTAAATGATTACATTATTTTAACTCTTAAATTGCTATAATTATTTAGTTAAAGCTTAAGATCAGAATTTCTGTCTGAATGATTTTTCCATTAGTATGATTGAATTGTATTCAACATTTGCTTATGTACTAGAGTATATGCTTTCATTTTAAGTCTTATATTATGTATTAATCAGGAGTGCAAACTAACACAAATTATCTATCAATTTATTATTATGTGTAGTGAATAAAAGCAAAATAACACCGAAAACGATTGTTTCTGTTGTACTTTCTTTAAAATATTTTTTAGTTAAATTATCCTGTTGAATTTGTGTAAAGGATTTCCCTGCTTTGTATTAATAACAGTCCATTTGAATACCAAGGGAGTTTCATTATCAAAATACAAAATTGAGGTACCAACAGTATAGAGTCTGTTCAAACTGCACGGATATGTAGCTTGTTTCGCTAAAGGCTTTTCATTTTCCGTTCCAGCAGGATATGTGTTTAAAATTATGACCTTTGAAAAAGTAATATTATCTTTCGACATTAGTCTTGGGAACTCCGATCGCTACCCGTACATTTATATAATTGTATTGTACTCGTTCGATACGTAAAACTTAAAGTATCTAGTGATATAAAAATTGGAACGATTCTGTAATTTGAGAGATTAACAATACAATTAGTATCAGCAGTGTTTATTATTCTTAAGACATAAAATCGAAGCTAAATAATCAACATACACACGGGATATTATCGAATTATTAAATGATCGTTGGCGGAGAAATTTGTAAATCCAGTTAAGCTATTTAGGAGGATCTACTGCCCAGATACGGCCAACATATTTGGTACAATCGGCGTTAAATCAACTGACAAAAATCCAAATGGGACCTTCTTATCTACGGCTTTATACTGTTTGAAGATCTTTTTTATTAAGATATTAGGATCCCATGACTTTTAATTTGATTTCAATTTAATTCCAAACACAACTAAACTGTATCGAACGCTTAGGCCCCAAAGTCGGTGTACAGTGCTTTTTGCTACTTCATCTCGGCGCACTTTGAAATTTGTATCAATAGTTTTCTTGCTTCCTATTGTAAAGGAGACGGGATAATCATCCAAAGTGTACTTTTATGCGCTTAAGTTTGTTTTACCGAAGGTGGATTGAATCACGAACACAATATCACGTTTTATAGTTTAATGGTTCTTCCTTAATGGAGTACCACAAATAAAATATAACATATGCGCAGGTTATCATGTCGTTAACAAATAGCTATTATAAACAGTAACATATATTGTTAGTAGAAAGCCACAAAGTTATCTCTTGGAAATCCAAATTCTAACTGTCCAAATTTTCTTTACAAAATTTCTAAAAATGGTTTCGTTTTACACTGATCAATAGAATGTAAACGTTTGTTTTTTAAATAACAAAATGGCCAATCAGGTTACAATACAAAATAATGTATCATAGCAACATGGAATTTATAACAACAATAATCACCTGGACATTTCATCAGTCATAAGGTTTAATAATTTAAATAGAACAGACAGCTTATTTGACATTATCACCAAAATATAATAACATTTTTAGCACAAATAATTGGACACAGAGGAAAAGCCACATTCAATCTTTCGGTAACATAATGATTAATTTGACATATGTTATAAAAACATAAGGCATTTGTAACTTTAACATACAGACAAACTGGTACATGCGACCACGTGTAGTAAGCGACGTTTGTCTTAAATTACCCCCATCATTTTCTTTCTATATCATTAATGTATAAAGCGACTTTGCTCAACGCGACCGGCGAAGACAGCTAATTGAGATCAATATTTTCATTAAAGGACCACTTCTACCTGTCAGGTGTTTGTGTTGTTAAAGAAAGAACGCCACCTCGTGATAACAATCAAAACACAATATATTAATGTGTGACAAACTCTATTTCCAAAACGTTTTAGAGTATGCAAATGAAGTTTAGTATACGCGTGACGTGTATTATCCAATAATATCGATAAAACAATGCAACGCGTCGCTCGTACTGAGATTGTGTATACGCTTCGCTGTTGATATTTAGATTGCATTGAATTGACCTTGAACTTGATCAGCATACAATTAAATGTAGTTTGTTTATCTAGAATGAAAACTGCACAAAGAAAACATCTTCTTTTATTATGGTTTTCGTGTTGGAGACAAGGAAAAAGCAACGGAGAAGTTTAAAAATTCTGGAAAAATGTCAAATGTTCACGTAATGGATTAAAACAGTTTTGTCAATAAACATCAGAGAGTTATCTTTTATATTAGCATCCATTTAGATTATCGGAGCGTTCTAATTATTAAACATTTATATAAATGAAGTTGAAAAACATTCCGCCCGCAAAAGAAATATATCATGTACAAAATTTGACTTTTTGTATCATGCTTTGTCTTAAGAGACCGTTTCATTAAGCGACCATTTTTGGTGTTTCCCTTGCGCGGTCGCTTGAAACACGTTTGACTGTATTTGATATTTCACACATTCTTTTAAAAAATATAGTCTTTTTAGATAATGCTAACAATTCTAAAAGTAAATTCCATGCATATCAACTCGTTATTTTTTTAAAAGAATTTTGCTGTTTTTCTGCTACACAACACACCTCCCTCAGTAGTTTGAAAATGCTTTATCCATGTAACAGCATAGTTTCAGAATGACAGACAATTGCTTGCAAAGTTATAAACATACTCTTGATATTCAAATTGTTGTTGATTGTACAAAATAGAGCGGTTTTGAAGAAGTTCACACAATTGGCATAAAAGTATGAAAACAAGTAAACACTCTCGAAAATTGGATGGAAACATTGTTTTAATAGTTCACTCAGTTGGTTGCAACATGAACGTAAGTCCACGGTAAAAAAAGAAATGCTGTTGATAATCGGAAGACGTTTTGAAAGATATTGTTTGATTGTACAATGTCCTTGGAAGTTGACTTTTACCAACATTTTTGGAATGTACCGCCCTAGATCTTGCAAAAGTTTACTATGCGATGCCATCTATATTTCTTTGTCTGTAACGAAACGATAACAATGGATTACCTGATACAGAATCAGACCGTAATGGCTAAATATTATGTGAAAACGGCAACAGCTCACAGCTTTGATAGTGTATTCTATGATCCACTGCACACGGCAAACGTAACAGAAGTATATATTGACATGTCGTCACCTTCGTGCAGTAAGTCCTTCTAAATATGATAGAAGTAAACTAGTTATTGCTCTAAGGTGATGATATGTGGTATAAACTACGACTCACTATTTACAGTTATTTTTGGAAAGAAATCATTTAAGGAAATGTAAAACATTTTAATCGTTATACATGACTTTTTATGTTTTTTAACTATGATTATATAAAAATTGAATCTTTTGGATTGAAGGTCATTATCAAAAATCCAAAAATCGTAAGATTCTTTTCAAGATTTCTTTTTCAAGTTTAAATCAATGTATCATATAATCCGCACTAAAAGTACATATCACATTCAAATTCTAAACAAGAAGACCCTAATGACTCTTGATCACTCACCTGAAGATGTGGTTTACATGGGAAAGACCATTTAGATAAAGTTGCATCAAAATCAAATCAGTCAGTTTAATCTTATTTCTATATTTAGCCTGCAGGAAGTCATTTTGTTTTGATAACTAATGATTTAAGAGGTATCATTCAATAATATTTTAAATGGAATTTAATCAAAATTTTGACCCAGCGGTCCAGACAATTTTGATTAAAGTTCATTTCATTTTTAGATCTGGCAACCATCTTGATCAACAGGCTTGAATTTATCAGTTTTTGAAAAAGACATTTAAAAGATATTTCCTATAGTTTTATCAGTCAAAATGGATAATGTAGAATAATAGCTCCCTTACACGCACCTTATTGTCTCCCTTTATTCTATGTTAAAATTGAAGTAAATTTACAAAAAGGTACGGTATTATATTATTCAAAAGTAGGACCATACGGACTCATAGTTCATTAATTCTTTTGTAGTAGTCACTATGTATCTTCATTCCGTCAGTCAATCTACTATTGAAGTAATGCTTTCGATGAGCAAATTGTTGAAAGATCATTGGAATAAAGGCTCAATTTAGTAATTTTATGTTCCCTTTTGGTCATAGTAAAAGTTTAAGATAATAATGTCCTACTATTGATCATAGTAATAGTTTAGGATAATTTTCTCCTTTTAATCATATGAATAGTTTAAGATAATGTTCTCCTATTGATCATAGCAATTGTTTAAAATAATGTTCCCGTAATGATCAAAGTAATAGTTAAAATAATGTTCTCCTTTTAATTACAGTAATAGTTTAAGATAATGTTTTCCTATTTATCATATGGATAGTTTAAATTTAATCGTTCTTGAATGATGAATTTATTTCAAGCAAATATTAACAACTCTCTTAAAAACAGATACTCTAAATTCAGATTTATTAGACGTATAGTTAAGACATGGCATTCACGACTATCGGATATATGAATACTCGCTTGGTTTTCCAAATGTCGGTCAATATTATTCTAACTGCGGGTTCATGTCATGGTATGTCGTTGTGTCTTTTGGTTAAAAAGTCAAAAAGTAAACATCCGTTTTCAGCGGAAATTATTGCATGGGAATAATTACATGTCACGCATGTAAGTGTCAAAAAAGAAAAAATCAGACGAATAAATCATGCAATATAGGATATTTTAACGAATGCAATCCGTAATAGTAGACAGATGTAGCATATTATCGTAAATAAACATTATGGATAGGATCAAATTTCACAGATCATAACCGTATAAATGGGTTTGCGTTTTACTCTAAAAAATATCATTTTGAAAGACAGCTTATTGTATGTTTATGACTGGTAGATAACATCATTATGTGCTTCAAGAACAAATTGTCGATTCAGACGTTCTTAAATTAATAATTTACAATGTTTTATACACTTATTATTCAAATTTTTATTTTGCCGTTTGAGTTCTTCATTATCGCTCCTTGCCCTCGCGGGGCGAAGTTTTATTTATTGAACTTCGCCGCGCGCCCCATCTAATTAGCGTGTTTTCGCTCCGCGACCCCGCCATTTTAACTTGTTAATTCTCAACTTTTCGCTTGGCGAGGTCGCAGGGCGAAAACACGAGTGGCACAAATCAGACACAATACTTTTATTACTTTTATCGTTTTCTTTTTCTGCATGTACGCCTTTAAGTAGGAGCAGTAGTCTGTGGTAGGACGCGCGCTTAGGGATCGAGAGGTCCTG